CTCTCTCTCTCTCTCTCTTTCTCTCTCTCTCTCTCTCTCTCTCTCCCTTTCTCTCTCTCGCTATTCGCGTCTCTCCCATCGCCAAGTTGCGCCACGCCCCTCCGCGACTCTTCCCTATCGCGACATCCTCGTGCTTATTTACAAGCGGAGGAAGGGCAGTATGACACAAGCAGAAGGCTCACCCTGCTTCTCAAGGAGACCCATTTGCCGACCGAACGCTGAGCGCACTATACGGCACACACACACACAGACACACACACACACTGCAAACAGACGAAAAAATGGACAACAGAATAATCGCATTAAAACTTTGGCAAAATTTTAGTGGTTGGTTTTGTTACAGCTTATGCAAAACTACTTGAAAACTAGTGCGTTATTATGTACAAAAATTATGGACTTGTTTTAAAAGTAATTTTGAACAGTTTCACTGTTTTGTATGTAATTTTAAAGAAAAGCAGCGCCCACTCAAGACTCTTACAGAATTTGTTCAGAACTTGTAAGCGTATCTAAAGGTCGCAAACAGTAATAACGACGCCTTGGACCCCGGGCTCCCGGGCTACGCGACACAGTGTCCCATCTGATAACCTTCCCCGCTCCAAAGCGGAGGGATTGATCAATCCCCCTCTTCTCCTGTTTGTTTTGTTTGCAAGCATTTCCTCCCCCCCCCCCCCACTTTCCTCTCCCGATGCTCCACTTGCTCTCTAACCTCAATCCCGCCTCCCTATTCACTGATAACAAGACATGGCAATATCCCCCCTTCTCCAGCCTTCAACGCCCCATCAGTGTGGCCCGGCCACCGCCTCAGCAACACAGTCACCCCCCCCCCCCTTTTCACCCACGACAGTCGCTCTCCTCCTGCTGTGAAAGGAGGCAGGTGTCATCGAATTGGAGGGTGGCTATAGCAGAAAAGGCTGGGCTGCCCCACCATACAGAACATTATATCCGTCAGAGAGACCCAAACGAGGAGGGGACCAAATCCAATAAACTGTCTGAGAAATATCAATCATCGGCTGAGGACACAAACGCACGCGGGGAAAATGGTGGCCGGAGAAAGCTGCTCGTGTAGGCAGTAGAAACGATGAGAAATCACCACGAACTATAGCTGGCTACCCCAGTGCATATCGAAATCATATCGTTTTGACGTCGATTCCACCATTTCGATAACGCTTCGACATTCGAAGCATTTTACCTCGTTCGTGTAGAGACACCTAAAATGGTCTGCTGAACAATTATTCTACGGATGGTCCACGTTGAACGTGTGACGTGTCAGAGGTGCTCCCATCCTAATCGAGCAGGGCGTCGTAACGTAGTGTGTAACGGAAACGCACTACCAAAAATAAAATTTCTATTTAAAAGCGTTTTTATCTTTCTGCGAGCCCTATATATGAGAATACGTTTGAATATCTTTGAAAACGCTTCAATAACACAATAAAGTTGCAATTTTATTTGCGTTTTTATGCGTTTCCGTTACCCTTTTCGTTGAGTCACGACGCCCTGCACGCGAGCACAATCGCGATCGGCTGTCAACGAACGCGACTTTATAGCTATGTAAACTAGACCCACATATACCCACATATACCATTGGAAACCTACTGTGTCGCGTATTATTATGTTATATAACTGACCTATTATTCTGCCCTCTTTTGATGTGTTCGCACGCCAGCTGGTCACCAGTCGGTGACGCAGCACTTGCGCTCTCATTGAGCCAGCTTCCAGTTCCCGCGGATCATGGCAAGCACACTCGTGGTTCTGGCACTCATGTGCTCGGCGGGCATCAACGGCAAAGGCATCAACTCGGTGATAGTATGGTTATACCTAGGCCTACCTTTTCTCGTGAACTTGTAAATACAGCACTGAGTCGTGTTTGCGATACTTTTAACACAAAACCATGCAATAAATGGGTGTTTTGCGATTCCCACGCTAAAGGGCATGATAACTCCAAAAATGTGATAAAAGTAGCACAAAAATGTGATATTTTTATCACACTTTGTGGAGTTATCATGCCCATTAGCGTGGGAATCGCAAAACACCAGTTATCGCAAAAATTGAGTAAAGGTATCACAAAACGGATTTCAGTGAGATTTGTAAATTATCGTAATATTTGTCCAAGTATTTCTTTCCGTGAACTCCTATAGACTGGATTGGATTTTTGACTTGGTATCATCTGCTTTTACGATCCGTTTCTGGTTGGAACTTTTTTTTCTGTTTGGAAAAATAGGGCCCTTACATTGCTTACGTGGAGCGCTTTTACATGTGTGAACCCGACAACCGACCACTTCCCTGGAGATGGGTTTTACGAGCGACTCACTTCAATCCATTTAAACCAAAAGAGTTGCAACGAGTGACAGGCAATTTGACGTTTTCAAGTGGACTTCTTGATGACAGCGACTGGGTAAGACATTGCAAATAGTAGAAGTAAATGGCATTCCGACACTTGAATGTCAAAGTCGTTCACACAGAATGGTGTGTACGTCAGCCATGTACGTGACACACAAGGGAGTTGACAGCTTAAGACAACACTCATTTTTAATTTGAGCATCTATCAAATGACTTATCAAGCCCCCCCCCCCCCACAAAATGCACAAATTAATAATCGATTAGGAACGATTTCATATAACAGATGGAAATTATTGGTCAAACAACCAGTGGGAGGAAAACGCCTATGTCTGTAAATTTAACCAGGCATGCCGAAATATTAAAGTACATATTCTTGGATTTTACGAGCTGTTGGGCGAGGGACGAAGGGGGACGGAGGCGATAAGGCTAGAGGACAGTGCTTTTCCGATGTGTTATTCTTTTATTCTTTTTATCACCTAACCTGAAATGGTCTATTCTTTGAATTACAAAGAAAAAAAAATTATTTGCAACGCTAAGAAGAATGTAGTTTGCAAGCATACTTGCGGAGTGAAAGTGAAGTTCGCCCTACAGTTTGTCAAACGACAAGCTTATTCCAAAATAAGAGTGCCTTACATTTCGTGCAGCTATTGAACAACAATATGCAGGAATAATGAATAATAATCGATTTCGTACGATTTCATAACAGGTAAAAGTAATTGTGGATACTCGGTCAAACAACCAGTGGAAGGAAAACGCATATGTCTTGAAATTTAACGATCATGCATGCCGAGCTATTAAAGTAAATATTCCTGGATTTTACGAGCAGTTTCTTAAGAAGAGAGAAGTTAAAGGCGCGTGCTTGTTTCGACCTGTGAGTACTAAGACTGCAAGTCTGATCTTGCCATACTGTTACGAGTGTATTTGTTTATATGGTATATTTTTAAGTTTAGATGGTGAAAATTGTTGGCGCTTTAAACTTCAAACACAACCGTATTATAAATAACTGTGAGGTATCTGGTAATTTTTTATTTACAGGGAGTTTACGAAACCAATGATGCCCCATTGAACTGGACTTTCCCGAATGTTCCAGCTTTACCTTATGGACAGTACAGATTTAGACTAATGATTGGTAAGGCAAAAAACCTATACGCATGCTTCGTAGCAGACGCGAGGGCTGTTCCGAAGACCGATTAGCACCTCATGCTGTACCAGGTGGCTGACTCACTTTCGCGGTTATACTGTATGTCATGGGTGCGGGCGGGTTTGCCTACTCTCGTTGCAAACGGCTCCTAACGGCCCCGTTGTACACCTGGTACACATTACCTGCAATCTCTCAGCTTTTGCGTGGGGCTCAAATATAGGGTTCAAACAGGCCTGGGACGAAGAATGTATCGTTTGCTTTATTATAGTATTATAGGTACTACATTGACTACAAGAATGGCCCAGTGATCCCACCGTGGTAAGAATTTATTTTTTGGTCTCTGAAACAAGCGAGTGTTCACGAGCAGTGTGTGCCCTGCGCTGGGCTCGTGCACATCAGGGCGCCCCACCACGCCCCGACACGATACAAGACTGGCACCGATTAAAATCAATCATAGCTTTTCCACATGCTTCAAACAGCCGCATAGTGCGGCCTAGCATGCCTCGCCGAAGGGTTGTGGGCGTGGGTGG